TCCCGCCAAAAGTCTTTCCAGTGCCTATGCGTGGGAACCAGGCGGACCTGACAATCCATTTTGAGGATAGGAACCCGCACTTGCGCATAGATCAAGTTACCATAGTTTCAGCCATGTAGCTTTTGTGGGTCTCGCAACGAAAACCCGTTACAGATGCATACACAGACACACATACATACGTACATACACAGAGAGACAGACACACATAGGCAACCTCTTGACAGTATGCGTTTGTGCATTGCATAGCTGCAAAAAACATAAAAATTGTTTACGTGGTGTGCTCTCGACATTTCCCTTTGACGTCTTGTCAATGTGTCTCTGACCTCTTGCGTTCTCTGTTCGAGCCTGTAGAAAGGTCAAGGGTGTTTGCCTGATCGATAGTCCCATGCAAAAGTCGCCAGATATGCTGGTCATCCGCTGCCGCTAGGAAAATGACATCTTCAGCTGTCTCTTTTCCCTTCTTTTCAACGTTTTTCTGTTGTATATCTAAAATTTTTGCTAAAGCGGTAAATGTTACATTCTCCACTGAGTTCACTATAATTTGATTTTAATAACCCAAATTTGAGGACTGCAGCGACATCTAGTTGATGTGGTAAAATATCGCTCGGCTACTGTGATTACAGACAAATTTTTTTGTTAATCAGCACGCAACTCGAGACGAAGAAAAAGAACTGTTAATGATTTACGAAAAAAAGTGTGAGAAATATCAGAATCTAAACTGTAATTGAAAAAAGAAAAAAAACTGAATTCTTCAGTATTTAAGTAAGAAATATGACTGTTTTAAAATTTGTAAATTTTTGAAATTTAAAAAAAATTTTTAAAATTTGCTGAGCATGCTTTGTCCAATAAATTTTCAAAGTTCCTTTAGCATACTTTATCCAGTTTATTGAGCATTTCGATCCTGAGAACTATATGCCTCCAATTAAGTGCCATTGCTTGTTTGAAATATGCGTTATTTTTTTCGGAGGCTTCCCGAGTGGTCGTTTAATTCCTCAATCGTATTATTCGCTTGATGTCCATCGGTTGTTAACAGAACTAAGTGGTTACATTTCACGAACGATATAGCCCTCACTGCGAACAGCAATCGTGAAATAAATGAGATGCTGCAAGAAGCTTAAATGCACCAAAGAAGCCGGGAATGAAAGACTATGCCAAAAATGTTTAAATTTTCTAACACGCTTGTGCACAATTTTTATGTTAAATTATGATTTGGTAGTGGTAAGAAATGTATACGACTTAGTGGACTGAAAAATTTCTTACTATTATAATATATTTTAAAACATTTTATGTTTTATTAATTTCTTAATGTCATTTGCTTTTGTCTTCTTCAGTCTTTAAAAAATATTTTCCTATTACATTACTAATTTCTGGATTCAAATTGCTTTTCTTTGCGCACTTCGGGTTTTTTCCTAATTCCCACTTTCTCGTTTTTCACCGCATTTAGGAAAAATACTACAGTTTCAGTAGCAATAATGTATAATACTTTCCCAGACTTAACTTTCGAATGCTTCCTTACTTTGCTTAGCGTTCGCTGCTAATGTCGGTGTAATGAATATTGCATATCGTGGTTCATATGGTTCGGCCTATCAACAGTCGGGAAAAAAATTTTTTTCCAATTTCATCCGATTCGGCCGCCCCACTTGGACCATCCATTTTTCATTCGGCCATCTAATGACATCTACATTAGTTTAACATCTCGAAATTATTACAGTTGTGTAGGAAATTTTTGAACTGGCAGTTTTGGTACTGAGGTCTTTATTATCGTAATCTTTATTACCGTAACCCTGACATTCTTATTTGGAATGATCATTTCTTGAGCGCGTCCATGGCCCCGTCTTCCCTTTCTATTTCTCTGAATAATCTGTGTTGTGCGCTGCTGCTCTTTGGCTACCGAAACACATAAAAAACTGCTTTCTAGGCCTTCAGTATTCTTGGAAATGGCAAACAATCGTCAATACCGGCGCCAGTCGCGGAGACAAGGTTCCTTTTTTTGACGGTGATAAGCGTATTTACAACATTTTCACATGAAAGGCAATTTATAGTAATGTTTACAGTGTATTTTAAAAGTATATTTAAGAATTTTCTGTGCTTCTTTGACGTTTTGAATGCTTATGTTTTGAAAGAAATATAGCCTGAGATGAGCCGAAACAAAAAAGCTTAATACTGTTTTGCTTAGCTTATGGCGGCATGGTTTTAATAGACTTAATGGGCCGAAACATTTCTTACCATTAAAATGATTTTATTAATTTACAAATTTTGTAGTTCTCACCTCTCACATTTCTCTTCATCTCTTTTCATCCGTTTTTAGTATAACTTCCAATTAATATACCTTCTTAACCTTATTTTTTCAAAAAACAGACCATTTTTTTTTGGGAAAATTGTATTGTAAAACAAACTTAACTTTTAAGCGAGTGCTGGAAGAGGAAGCAGGCGTGGAAGGACCGAAAGTTGGCGAGAAAGACGTCACACTACTCATACAAATGTCGAATCTTCAGTGTCGTTACAAATGGCGAACGATCAAGGATTTTCACGTGGCCGATCACGCAGACGAGGTATCTCTATTTTGGTTTTAATAACGATTATGTGCCCGCTTTGTAACTGAAATGTGCGCAAACTTCTTCAAGAGAACTTGAGACATAACAAACAAATGCATTTTGCGCCGATGAGCCAAGTTATAATACTTATTGTTTAACATACACTTCTCTTTTAAGGAAATGCTAGAAGACGGAGCAGGCATGGAGGAATCGAAAATCGGCAGGGAAGGCCTCACACTCATACAAAGTTTGATTTTACGATTTTTCCACAAATGCAGTAAGGGAAACATGCAGGATTCGAGGCTTTGTTGTAATACCTCTTTGTTATCAGTCACCAAGAAAGGACTTTTTCATGAGTTTTTTCTTTTTTTCTGCAACAACTCATCCGAACAATGCGCATAATTTGCCTCGGAGCTAATTGTTTACTTTGGCTTACCGTAGATATACATCTGACTTTCAAATCACACTTTTTACGGGCAATGTCGCGGAAAATCCGCGAAAGGTCGGCCAAGAAGCCGCAACAAAGAAAAAAGAGGACGGAAGAAAGGTGTGTCTTGCCTTGAAAGGCAGATACA